CTTTGATGATCAAAGCCCACTGTCATTTGGAAGCAACATGATCAGCTGAAATGAGATCCTTGGTTTCTCAGCATCCATTGCAGCTGGGCACAGCCAGGTCACAGGTATTGATCTAAAAAATTAATCAGAAATTTCTCCTCTGGTAATAATTGTTTTCTCATTAAAAATAAATAAGCACATGGCATCATCTTTTTCCCTCTCCTACCCCTTCTTCCTGACTTGAACAGAGCACGTCACCCCACATGCAGCAGCCATCCTGCGATCACGAAGAAAAGACCAAGACAAGCTCAGAGACACCATCATCGATCAGCTTTCGAATTCGGTGTCACTTGTTGATAAGGGTTTCCCTGACCACCTTCAAGTAGACTCTACCCCGCTTTTCTTTATCTCTTCCTTTGTTTACTTCCTTCATTGAATTTATTTCAACCAGCAATAGTTTTTATTTTTCAGTGTACTATTTTTGTTAATATTTTTGTAACTTTCATTAAAAAATTAGCAAATCCTTGAAATTAGGCATGGGTCTAGGCACAGAGTAGCTGCTCAATAAATATTAAATACTTGAATACATTTCCTAGAAGACAAGAGCTCTCATTTCTAAGCTCGTCTTTTTCTGGGTTAGTGCCTTATCCAGAGGCCAGGCTTTGAGAGCTGCCTCTGCCATTTCGCAGCTGTAAGACCTTGATCAAATCATACCCTCTCTCTTTGGGTTTCAGATTTCTATCTAGTCACTGAGGTGGTGGGACTTGAGCATCTCCAAGGTCCGTTTTAATTACTGATCTCTAATATTGCTAGGTTTTTCTTCTGATTGTAGAGTTTTTAAGAGTTTTATGATCAAGATCCTTCAGCAGTACTACATTTTATGTCACAATTCATTATGTATCAGGAACTGTATTCTCTTACATTAAAAAAAAAGGCCAGCTTGTTTTCAGGACCTGTGATAGGATTGTTACCTGAAGTTTGAACAACTCCCCTAAGCTACGGTATTTTGTCCCAAGTAATCCCCTATTAAAACATACTTTCCTTGTGAAAATATTTTATTAATGATACATATAATAATATGACATTAGCATATTATAACATAATATATACTATGATATATAATAATAAAATACAATAATAAATTCAACATGTAGACGGCTCTTTAGAGCACACAAAATACCATCACATGGAGTATCCTATTTATTCATTGGATTAACTCTCTCATGGGAGTAAACCATTTTTCAAATGAGAAAGCGAGCTCACTAGGCAATTAGTATGTATAAGATTACTCTGCAATCTAGTGCCAGAACCAGGGCTCAAACCAGGATTTTAAACTCCTCAATAAATTTCAATTAAGGATGCGGACTATTTAGATGAATCAATTCCATAACTCTAGTTGTCGAATCTCTCCGCTGTAGCACCACTGTAACTCAGCTCATTTCACTATAAGCTCTGGACGTCCAAACAGAGACCTCGAAGGTTAAGGAACATGTGCAGACCCATTCCAGAAGATGGAAGAGACCCGAGAAAACCTTGATGAAAAGATGGCAAACTAGGCTCTGTTCCATGGCCTTCAGGAGGTTATTTGGCTTCTTTGAGTTTCAGTATTCTGTGTACACTGGGGATGATTCTAATTGCTACCAACTGCAGGGGCTTATGAAAATGCTTGCAGAGATTCTTGGGCAGTTTGAGCTCTCAGATTTTTACATGCACCTTCCCTCTACCAGGGATGTCTGCCCTTCTGCTTGGTAGAAACTAGACATCCTTTAGGCCCAATTCACATTCCTCATAGCAAGAATGCATCAGTCCTTTCCTGTGCTCCTGCTGAATGTAATTCTCACTTTGATTCTGGCTCTTTCCATGTTCCATTAATATATGCTTCCCATATGTAACAGTGCCTGACATATAGTGGGTGGTCATTAATTTATTTACAAAGCAAGCATTTACTGGACTTTGTGTTCTACGCCTTGGCTACGCTCTAAATAGTTATCGAAAAGCAAGTTGAATTGCCCGGGATGATATCAGTAAGCCTCATCATCTGCCAGTTTTGTGGGAGGAATCAGAACACACATTCAATGGGGAAAGTGTTGCATAATGGGAGTTCTCCTAGTGGTTTAATAACTTTTGATGGGACCCGTATGAATTGTAGCATCTGTGGGAAATGTTACCCATCCCAGCACATCATAACGTAAGGAATGAGCTATGGCTACAAGAATGACTATGGGTAGAATTTCATAGTCAGGTGGGCTGAAGACAGTCCAATTCTCAGTAGGATCATTGAAAGGGCAGATTTTTAATTTGTGTGCTGGTGAAGACCTGCAAAATGTGGAAATTGTTACTTTGATGCTTTATCTCCAGAAGCTGGGGCCAGATTGTGGGGAGCAAGCAGGGTTGTTTAGGAGATTCTATATCTCCTAAAGGGACAAGAGTGAGGGTTCTGGAGTCAGTATGGCCTGGGCTGGTCCATTCTCCTCCCTCGTCACTCCCCCAATGTTCACCAAGTGCCTACTCAGTGCTGGTTAAAAAATACCAAGCCCTTGAGCCTACTTGCTTCTAGTAGATAGAGAGTAACTGGGCATACAAATAGGCTTTCTTCACTGGAGTGATCAGAGAAGTCCTCTCTGAGGCAGTGGCCTTTGGGCCAATGCCTGAATGATGGGAAGAAGGGAACTATACACACACCTTGAGGAATAGCATTTTGAGATGAACCAATAGCTGAGGGCATAAGCCTGGTGTGTTTGAAGAACAGCAAGGAGACCAGTGTCACTGGAGCAGATGGAGACAGAGAGAGAATGAAAAAAATGTCAACTTTCACACTAGTGTGTAGACAGACCCAGCTACATGACTCATAGTGCCCAGTGCAAAATGAAAATGCAGGGCCCTTTGTTCAAATATTATTAAGAACTTCAGGACAGTGACAGCACAGCATTAAACCAAGGGGCCCTTATGAGCATAGCTATACAGATCGCACCCTGCAAAGCTGACTGTGTATAGGGCTGGGTAAGCCAGTACTTACCATGCAGTCTCCTTGGTAAGAAGCCACTGCGGGGTAGAAATCGGGGGGTACAATGAGTAATTTCACTTAAATCACTGACTGCTCTGGAGGAGTGAGTTGGAGGGGCTGCAGTAGGGAGGGATGGAAGCAGGGAGACCAGCTTGGAGGGTGTTGCTGTCCTCTGAGGAAGAGGCAATGGTGGCTTGGAATGGGATCTAGCAGTGGGGCAGTGAGTGGCCAGATCCATATCATTATTTGGAGGTAGAGACATCAGGACTTGCTGATGGATGGGAAGGAGCTTGAGGAACAGAGAAAACCTAAGGCATCTTCTAAGCTTTTGGTCTGGGTTGTTGGGTGGATGCTGATGCCATTTGCTGAAACTGGAAAGACTTGGGGAGAAACAGTTTGTGAAAGAAAACACTCCTGGAATCCATATTAAATTCAACATGTGTATTAGACATCCCAGTGAGGATGGTAGGTAGGCAGTGTGGAGCAGAGGGAGTGGGAAGGACCAGAGATACAATTTGTTACAGTGTATGAGTGGCATAAACAGGCACTATTCAGTAAGGAATGTATAAACACACAGACACACAAAGCTATGCTGCTGTGTTGAGTTCCAGCTCTGCCACTTACCAGTCATGTGCCCTTGGACACATTTCTTCACCTCTTTGCAGACATACCATGAAAACAAGCACATGCATCCCCTCCCCTGTGGCAGTTGTGGAGATTAAACGGGATGATACATAATTAAACGGGACAGTATATAATGCCTAGCACAGTGCCTGGCAAGTGGAAAGGACTCTATTCATTGTTGTTATTATCAATATTAATGCGAATCAGTTTATCTGCAAAATGAGATCAGCTGTCCTGAGGATATTAGGCTTATGAAAGTTTAGTATTCAAACAGAATAAATTAAGCTATGCAGATAGGCAGGAAGTATTTAGGACTCTCTTCTTCCTTGTCCCTATTTGACTTCATTTAAAGGCAGAATAGGTTTAGAGGACCAGACACTTGCATAAGAACGTTCTTTTGTTTTCTCTTTTATCTTCCACAAAATTGCTATAGAACACCTCTGTTGCACTTCCTCATTTTGTTTGTAAATAGCCTTTTAAGGTCCTGGCTAAAAATCCAGTCTACCTGGTATATAAAAGTAAATAAAATAATATCCTTAAAAGCCAGAGGCAATCTTGGATCTATTAAGTAAGAGATGGCCAGAAATATCTGGAGTTTGATGTGGAGGTGCTGATCATGTTTTAAATCTCAAAGATGAAACCCAAGAAAGTGAGATATGGTGAACCAGGAGGAGAGGCCAAACCTCACTCCTTAGAAGAGGGTGGAGACCTCCTGTCTTAGCCAGCTGAGGACCAGTGGCTTCACTACCTCCTGTCTTAGCCAGCTGAGGACCACTCCTCCCACTACCCAGGCTCTGACAGCCACATATGCAAGCATCTGGTCATCTTTAATTGCCTAAATTATAAAATTACACTAAAAAGTAAAGCAAATGATAAACAAAGATTCTCCAATCAGATATTTTCTTCATATACTACTAAAAGGTAAAATAAATAAACGTAAATAAAATGGAAGCCCCTCCATTTAGCTCTTATCTTTGGCGGTAATCAGGTTCTAAAACTTGTGCCCCTCCTATTGAACCGTGGCTTCATGTTTTTACTATACATGTGTGGTTCTGGAAGCAATACATAGTTTTGTGTATGTTAAAACATTTGCATATATATTTTTATAGTTTTATCCTTATGGATCTTGCAATTTGCTTTTCTCATTCAATATCATGTTGATAAATATATGTCTAGTTCATTAATGGCTAAGTATTGCATTTCACAACTGTATCAGTTTATTCATTTCTCTATTGATAAATAGATTTATTTTCCTTTCTTAGTCTTCCCTCCCCTCCCCTCCCCTCCTCTTCCCTCTTCTCCCCTCCCTTTTCTTCCCTCTCTCCCCCAACTTTTCTTCTTTTTCACTTGTTACAGACAATGCTGGCTTGACCACCCTGGGCATGAGCTTGGACACACCTGTGGTGTTCCCCCAGGGCACTGCTAGCACTGGAGTTTCAGGACAGTGGAGCAGGATTATTTCAGCATCACCAGATATCATCTTTCTGCTTTCCTAGGTGGTTTCCTAGTTTGTGTCACTGCCAGTGATGTATAAAAGTTACTTTTTCTCCACAGTCTCACAAATATTAGCTCTTTATTAGTCTGCTAAGTGAGAAAAGTAGATTCTTGTTGCTTTAATATTATTTCTCTGATGTCTAGTAGGATGTACTTCTTTTCAGATGCACAATTGTTTATGTCACCCTGGCTGGGTTCTTATTTCATGCAGCCAAACGTCAGCCCTAACAGAGGCGGCATTTTGGACCAGTGTTAACTAGCGTTCCAGGAATTGCCTTGTGAGCTCAAAAAGAGAGAAAGGGGAGATGAAGATAAGAGGAGTGGGTGCCTTGAAGGACAAACTTAATCAGCTCCACAATTTTGCCCAGGGATGCTAAGAAATCTTACAATCCCATGTCATAGTTAATTGTTCAAAAGCAAACCTAACAAAACTATGCTCTCCAAGTTTGGATCTGTTTTACTTCTGACATGTGGATCCTTCCCACCACTCACCTCCAGGTGATAAACTTGGAGGAACTCTCTGAGCTCGAGCATCTTGCCCAAGACTTCTAGAGAGTCAGTCTGGACTTAACAGAAACCTTTATGCAGTTCAATCCTGAAGAGATTTATTCGTTGCCTGCTATGAACAATTCACTGTGTTCTCCATCAGGAAAGACTCATTCCCTTCACGAGCCAATTAGCAAAGTGATGAAAGAAAGGAACAGATGTGTTTGGCCCACCTCTCTCTCCTCCAGAGCTCAGAAACTTAAGAAGTGACAGTTTCTTTTCAGATCCCCAGCCAGAGTTGACCCTATAGCCCTGAGTCACCAGGAAAGGTCCCAGACTCTTCAGCCTTCTGTCTCCAACACCTGGCCATGTCATTTCCTGGGAGCCCCCTCAGGTGTCATCCTGCCTGTCTCTGCATCATCAGAGGAGCTCCTGCCATCAACTTCAACCACATTTGAGTGTTAAAAAAACACAGATGGCATTGTGGTTCCAAGCTAATTGCAGCATATTTATCTGATAAGCAATTCTCATTATGTGCTCGTCAAACGATTATGGAAACAAGTAGTGGCTCCATCCTTGTGCCTGTCAGGTCTGGTTAATAAAAAATGAAAAAAAAAAAAAAAAGAAAGAGGAAAATTGCTAAGCTAAGAGTGGTCTTGGGATCAGAAGGCAGGAGGTAAAAATAAAACAGCACTTCTAGGCAATTAGTTAGGATGGCTCTGGGCCCAACTCACTGTGCCTGACCAGAAAAGATTTATCTCTACCTGGGGCTTGAGGATTCCCAAACCCAGGAGGAGGAGCAGAGAAGAGCTGACTGTCCAGTATCTGGCCTTTCTTCTCCTTGCACTTGACTTCCCTGCCACTGTAGTGTAGCGAACTTCCCCAGATAGACTTTGCTTTTGTGCCTTGGGACATTGTACATGCTGTTGCAAGGCTTTTGCTCTGGCTCCCATAGCTTCTTGGACTTCTCCAACATAGGACTCAATCTAGTCTAGGTTTTAAGAACGTAGACAGAAGACAGACCACACAGGTTCAATCCCAGGTGCAACGGCAAGACCACCACTGATTAGCTGTTGCCTTACACTGATGACCTGAACCTTCTGAGTCTCGGTTTGAACAATAATAAGATAAGAAAGGATGGTAGTATTTGTTTTTGCACAGCCCTTGTGAGGTTGCAATGAAATGCTGCACGTAGGGCCCTTGGCACGGTGCCTAGCTTCACATAAGCTTTCAATCTATGTTGGTTCCATCACAGCCACAGCTGTGGAACCCTTTCCTCACTGCCTGCTCATTGCTTACCTTCTTTTCTGGCTGATAAGCTCCATGAAAGCAGAGACACTCTGCTCACAGACTGTCCCAACACAGAGCACATAATAGTTCACTTAATGAACTTGTGTTGAATAAGGAAACCGGTGAAAATCGCCCCTGAGAACTGGAGACACCCTGAGATTGAGAGGATGAAGCCATGAGTGACCTGCGATTCTCAAGAGGGGAAGGATGGCGGGTGGGGAGCGGAATATATAGTTTATAAAATCATACTAAATATTATCATTTAACTTTACATTTATGAAGTTAACATAATTTGGAAGGACAGTACAAGCGACAGCAAAAGCAAATCTGGATAAAGTTTTGTGATTGGTGGGGCAAGGGTTAAAAAATCATAAATTCTATCCACTTTCTTACTTTATAGATGAGGATACTGAGACTAGGAGAGGCAACCACATTGAGCATTTCATGGCTAGTAACCGCTGGCTCCAAAACCCATTGGTTATTCATTCATCCAACAACTATTTAGCCACATACGCTGCAGTTTCTGTCCTCAGGAAGCCCCCATGCTATACAGTTGAGACCACAACTACATCACTCCATCAGAGGGAGTGGGTATAGCGGTTCCTGGAGGGCAGCTCTGCCATCTGAACATGAAGGGTGAGTAGCCTCTGTCCACTGGTAGAGGAAGGAGAGCACAGCAGCAGAGATTCTCTGCACAGGCATGGAATCCTCAAGCAGTTGGTATGTTTGTTGAGTGAGACTCCTACAGCATTTCCTGGTGCCCACACTCTCTGAATTGTTCTGTACATGCTGTGTTTGATGCCAAGTTAGGCCAGAAGTCCTGTGAGGGCTGGGCCAGGCTTTCTATTCCTGTTTCCCTCACTGGGATGGACTAGTGCTCACACTGCTGGTGCCTGACACCTGCTGACAGACAGAAGGTCCTAGCTCTGCCTAAGGCTTTACTGTCATCTAGTAAAGGGGGTAGGCAGGGACTGCCAGGGACAGCCTACCATGGTTCAGACAATGGATTTCAACCTTACAGAATCAGAGCTTCTATCTCCTTTGTTGTTTATTATTTTTATTTTAATATTGTCCATCCCAGCTCATTCTAAAAAGGACTTGAGACATCAATGCTTTCCCCCTAGGATCCCACCTCAGCAGGTCAGATGATGGGATCAAAGCTTGGACCACCATTACGGATGCAGATGGTTGATGCTATATTATCCTCCCTGCAATTTACCCTCATGGCCTAAGCCATCCCTGATATCCGCCTCCAGCCCCTCTGAGTGTGGGACCTTGGCTTTGAGCTCTTTGGTTTCCTTTTACACCTCCTTTCCGTTTTATCCCCCAACTCCTTTTCTCTAGTCCTACCCCTTTTCTCATCCACCATCTCTGTCTGTGTTCTGAAAGGTCTCTCTCTGTTTAGCTTATCTTCAGATTAAAAATTGTCCTTCTGGGCTTCATGTCCATCCTCCTCTCCATTTAAGGCTGAGGTTTCTCCAGGCACATAGCAGTCCTGAAACTTTAAGGAAGCTTTGTAGTCCACTTCTGGATTCCCATCATCAATTTTATAGGTTGTGATTAACTGGTGAAGCTTTCATCTATTTATTTATTCATTAAATACTTCTCAATGATATTGTTAGTTCTTCTCCAGATGGAAGCTTAGAAAACAAAGGTATTACTAATAATCAGGAGATTAAAATCTCTGGACAAGCAGAAAGTTCAGTGAGCATAACAGAAAAATCAGAGGAAGAACTAATATCTAAATAGTTCTAAAATGCTATCATCGTCTAGATAAAGAAAATGTGGCACATACACATCGTGGAATACTATGAAATACTAAAAAGAATGAGATCATGTCCTTTGCAAGGACGTGGATGAAGCTGGAAGCCATCATTCTCAGCAAACTAACACAGGAACAGACAACCAAACACCGCATGTTCTCACTCCTAAGTGAGAGTTGAACCATGAGAACACATGGACACAGGGAGGGGAACATCATACACCAGGGCCTGTCGGGTGGTAGGGACAAGGGAAGGGAGAGTATTAGGACAAATACCTAATGCATATGGGGCTTAAAATCTAGATGATGGGTTGATAGGTACAGCAAACCACCATGGCACATGTATACCTACGTAACAAACCTGCATGTTCTGCACGTGTATCTCAGAACTTAAAGTAAAATAAAAATAAATAAATTAAATGGTATCCTCCATGTAATTTAGTTATTAATACAATCAAAATCTTATGGAAGCAGCACCTGATCTTTGGAGAGGATAAGTGACTCTTCCAGGATCAACAGCTACTCTTTAGTTAGCAGGGGTGGGAACCCCATACCTGTGCAATTTTTCCATTAGAAGAGGTGTCTACAGTTGGAAAGGCAAGGGCCACTCATGGGCTAGAAGCAACTCATGTTGTCTTTTGAAATGGCAAAGCCACATAGGAGTGAAAGTAAACTATTTCCCTTTTGGCCTTTCCTTTTGCAGTAGGTAGAGTTCAGCGTAAACCACTACTTACAATCCTCTAACAATTTCTCGCCCTTGTGTATTGATCTGACAAGGCTCTGAAGTACTTTGCCTCCCAAGGGCTCCAGGAACTGTTCTGAGTGTATCGATAAATGATGAAGCTGGCATCAGCCAGTCACAAACAGACTGGGAAAGGCAGGGAAATTCGCAGGCAAAGAAGGAGAGAATGGGTGGAGATAGTCCTGAGAGTAGGGGGTTCCTGGCTGCATCCCCTCCCTGACAGCCCCCAAGGAATTCTGAGCCAGTGAGGCTGTTTGTCCTTCCATTGTTCGTACTTATGAAAAAATGCTTCCTAGCTGCAGGAGAAGGAGTCCCAATCCCCTTGGGTGGGAGGTACCAGAGTCTGGTGGTCCTGTCTGGAAGGGTCTCTGTTTTGGGGAACCTGGCACCATCAAGTACCTAGATTCCCCAAGATTCCTGGCCCCTAGGATCCTGGTTTCCTTCTGTGGCACTGCAGCTCCATCCCGTTCTGCTTCCTCTGTCCCCTCCCAGCACCTACCCTCCTTAGTCCTGCTCTCTCTCAAGGTGGCACAGAGCGTTGGCCTCCATCACTGTCCTATCACTGCCACATTCAATGGCAGGACTACGGGCCCTCCTGGTCCCAGGGGTCTCATTTCCTGATGGAGAAACTGATGAAGGGGAAGGAAGAGCGCTCCAGAAGAACCCGCCTGTGATGCTCTCCCCTATCAACTCTAGTTCCCTCTTTCCATCCTTTTAAAAGTCCTCATTCTATGCCTGAAGGCAAAATTAGGGTTTACTGCTAGGGAAGGACAGGGAGCTCCAAGCTTGTCAATGCACCAGGTACCGTGCTGGGTCCTGTACCTGAGATTCTCAGATTTTCAGATAGGATCCTCAGAAAGATGCACAATAGCCCTTGTACCGTGCCCTTTCTATGATGAGGACGGAAGAAGAGGTGAGGTAAACCAGGTGTCACAGCTCGTGAATGACGATGATCAGTGTTCCAGTCCCCGTCTACCTGGGACTCAGCCTCTTTCCAAGTATCCATCCAATCCCCTCTTATCCCATATCTGGAGCTTTCCAATGAGGGGATCCCCCACCTCTGAAGGGTAGCATTTGGGGACACCTTCCCCAAACTGGTCCATAGCATCCCACACCTTCTATTACCTATCTGCACAAGGTGCTGGGGCTTGGCTAAGAGGCTGCAGGGCATGGGGAGCCCAGCAGGACCCTGAACTGTTAATGGATTGTACAGAGTTATTGTCTACTATTAAGAAAAGCAATTAGCCAGGAGGCAGTGCCTAGACAAGGCTGCAATTCACGACATGGGTAGACTGCTTTGTATTTGTCTTCAGACCTCATTTGTCCAATGTGAGCAATTGGTACTGCGAAGCATTTCCATGTTTGTGGAGCTGCACACCCGCTCTGGTCCTGGGCTTCTCCAAAGCACAAAGGGCCTCACTCACCTCTCCTAAGCCTGTGTGCATACCTGGGGTCACAACACAGAAAGCATGCAGGGTGGACCGGGGATGAACTGACAGTTTCTGACATTTTCTGACAAAAGACTTCTTGGAGCTACTTCTTACTTGATGACGTGCTTCATGAGTCCATGAGGCAGTGAAGTTCTGGGTCTGGGAAGACCTCTGTCAGCCCCTTGCTCACTCATTGCCTTTGGATGCATCTGTAAAATAGTGATAATAATTAGGGAATCAGAGAGAATAGATGTACAATACCCAATACAGAGTAGCTTATAAATAATAATAGTAATTATTATTACTATTATTTCATCTTGTAGTGGCCCAATTATCAGCCGAGACCTAGCACACACCCTAGGAGGACAGCTGCTGAGAGGAGACAGGTGCATCCCTAGGGGAAGAGGCCCCGAGGAGGCATCGGACACCAGTGCGCTCCAGGGGAGCTCAGCTGGGCAGAAGCCAATGTGAGAAGTTACTTGAAGTACAGGCCCCCATCACAAGTCTGGGGTTCAGGGTCAAGAGTCTGCTCCAGGGAAGAGCGGGCAGAGCTGCAGAATACTCCAGCAACCCACAGCAGCAGAGTTTACTTAATCTTTACCTGCGAACACCAATCCTGAGCACTCCCTTCATGCCAATTTCCCCTTCAGCCCCAGACTCACCCCCTCAGTTAGGCACTGTTATGTTCCCAGCATGCAATTGGGGACTTGAGGCTCAGAGATGCCAAGTGACTTACCCCAGGTCACACAGATTGGAAGCAGAAGATTGAGGATGCCCACCCAGGCTTGCTGGGAGAGCAGATCAGCATTTCCACATGACAGGATCCCTTGAGGCTTGGAGATATGATTTCTCAACTTGCAGTCTTCTTTCTTATCCTAAAAGTAGCCAGCAGTTCAGCAAAATAAGGTCAGCATGTGAAACCCAAAACCATGAGCTTAATAACTCCTGGGTGGTCAGAACTGTGCCAGGTGCTGAGGGTCAGGCAACAACAGAGACTTATCCAGGTGCTCATGGTGTGAGTATCTGAGGCTAGTTTGCAGCAAATAATCAGGAGAGATTTATGGCTGCCTTGCCCACAATCTTTGCTAGCCTTCCCCTGGGGCCACCACCAATAATAACATTTAAAACTAAATAAAAGTTACGGCTGAGAGTGGTGGCTCATGCCTATAATCCCAACACTTTGGCAGGCTGAGACGGGCGGATCACAGGGTCAAGAGATCGAGACCATCCTGGCCAACAGGGTGAAACCCTGTCTCTACTAAAAATACAAAAATTAGTTGGGTGTGGTGGCACACGCCTGTAACTCAGGAGGCTGAGGCAGGAGAATCGCTTGAACCCGGGAGGCGGAGGTTGCAGTGAGCTGAGATTGTGCCATTGCACTCCAGCCTGGGCAACAGAGTGAGACTCCATCTCAAAAAAAAAAAACCAAAAAAAAAAAACCAAACAAACAAAAAAACAAAATTGCATGAGGGCAAGGCTCTTAGACCCACTTTCCTTTCAGATGTAAGTCCCTCCTCATGGCCCTTGTCTAAGTTGAGTTCCCCTAGACAGATCTTGACACAATGATATGATGCAAGTAGGTTTTTTTTCTTTTTGGAAGTGAATCCAAGAAAGCGGTCATGGGGAGGGGACCAAAGAAAGCTCTCATGGTGCATCCGCTAGCAGGGCACTGCTGTGGGCAACCGAAGCCCAATCCCATGGGGACTTCTGGGAGACTGGGCAGAACATGTCTCAGGTGTTCTACCCAAGGGGCGAGGAAGCTGGGGTACTTATCCACCAACACCGATTCACACGGGTCAAAGGCCTCTCCTGGAATTCTTCACCCTCCGTACTTCTAGCCTGCCCTCTGCATAGGCGGACCATGCTCTGAGGCCAGAGGAATCCCTCAGGCAGAGAATCCCACCCCCTTGGAACAAAAAGTTTCCAATGGGGAAGACAAGTGCTAATAGTATGTGGACAGGCCCCAAAGGTGCCTGTTACTGTCTCTTCTGTAGAAATGTTGGAGCTGCCATGGTGGGCTGCAGAGAAGAAGGGTCCAGGGAGCCCTGGGTCGTATCAGAGTTCCACTGTTAAGAGATGTGTGACCTTGGATGAGTTACTTTACTTGTCTCATCTTTAATTGCTTCATCCAGAAATGGAGTATAAAAGTACCTACATACTTAGGGTATTGAGAAGATTGAGTAAGATACTCTATATCAAGTGTCTAACTTCTGGAAAGCACTTAATAAATGATAGCTATCAATATCGTTATTCTTAATCACAAGCCAGATCATGTCATATAAGCCATAAATCACCTAAAAATTTGGAAAAGTGAGAGAATGATGTAGCGTGGGAGATTATTCTGGATGGGTGTCAAATGGAAGTTGGGACTGGCATTGAGCTTTGAGAAGTTACAGGATATTTTTAAAAGTATAAAATGAACATATCAACATTACAAAAAAAATTTAGAAGCACAGAGTAGAACATCCTATGCACCCACATCCCAACATTCTTCTTTACAGGCCTGGTATTGTTTGCATGTTCCTGACGACTGTGATGCTGAGCATCTTCTCATAGACTTATGGGCCATTTGTATATCTTTGGAGAAATGTCGACTTATGTCCTTTACTCGTTTTTAATTGGGTTGTCCTTTTCGTATTGAGCTGTAAGAGTTCTTTATATGTTTGGTTTAATGTTAATTTGCTTCTGTAAATTAATAGTGACATTGGACATTTTCCAAGCATCTATTTACTGGTTATAATTAGTAAAGGAATTTAGATGGAAGCATGGTAGGGAGGATATCTTAGGCAGCAACGAGAACAAAGATGAACGTGCCCAGGTGGATATCATAAAAAGATAATTGTTCTATGATTCTTTAATGTTTTTCATTTAACACTTTTGTTGCATATATTTCCTGTTCCAAAAACTACATCATGTCACAAAATAGTGCGCATGATAAAAATAGCCTCTGTCTTCACAAATCACACAGCCTAGAGGGGCTGAGAGAGATTTATAAAGTTAAAAAAATACTTATGGATTGGTTTATGTGCCTGACGTCCTGGAAACAAAAAGGATGCAGAGTTAGGCAGCACTGCAGAGGGACCTAGTTCAGCTAGTTCAGAGAATGATTCACGCTGGGTTTCCCAGAAGTCGACACAGAGAAGAGCTTGTGAGTGAGAGCCATGTGTTATGAAGTCTTCTCAGGACAACCCGGTGAGTGGGGAAGTGGGATGGTGGGTAGAATGGAGAGGGGAAGGAAACAAGCAAGTGAGTGAAATTGAGCCAAATCCTTGTCAATCAACAGGGTAGCTCTGGACATAGCATAGGACAGAGTTTTCCCAATCGGATGAGGGTGCTGAAGCAGGTACACTTCAGCGCCCTTCAGCCCTGGGAACATACATCCCCAAGCCCTTGCATCCTTGCTTTCAGACAAGTTGACTTCTGGGAACCAGAGAACAGACAGGCTGAAGAGGTTCAGGTGCCGGCTGATGAAAGTGAATACACCCAGGAAGCCAGTGTGCCAAAGATTGCCAAGAATCTGATCTAAGGAAATGGGAGCCTAAGGGTGGAACGCTGAGTGCATCTGCAACAGATGGGCAGATCAGGGAAGGCTCTTCAGAAGAAGTGACATTAAGGATGATGAGGAGCAGAGGAAGAGTCTAACAGGCAGAGGAAGGCAGGTAGGTGAAGGCCATCAAGTGGAAAGGGATCAGGTTTCTCCAGAAACTGGGAGAACCATGGAGGGTGGTAGATTGGAAAGAGGCCTTAGTAAGTTTTGCTCAAGGTTTCTCGTTTTACCAAGGGAAAACAGAAGAGAAGAGGGAGGCTCAGAGAGACCGAGTAACTTGCCCGATGTCACACAGCTAGCGATGTAACAGAGAGCTCAGGGCAGACCTCAATTCTGACATGCATGACCAGTTGTGGGGAATGCAAGATGCATACAAGACCCTCTGCCTAAGGGTTGTGGGGAACTGGAGAGGCAACTCAGGGAGAGCAGAGAAACAGCATGGGCAAGAACACCCAGACCACACCCCCCACGCCACCCCAGTGCACCCCCATGCTTGCTATGATTCTTTCTTAGAGCAGAAAAGCTTCTCAAGTATATGGATGCAACTGAACAGACACAGTTATAAATAAAGTGACAGATACCATAGCAACAGGGGAAGCAAAGTGAAATACATCATTTTATTGTAAAGGGCAAAACCTACGCTATATGTACAAGCGAGCGTCTCCTTCTTCTTTCCATTGCTTTTCTGCACAAACATTTCAGACTTCAGATGCAACAGGCCTGCCTCCTCAGCCAAGGCAATTCTGCTACAGAATGTATACCTATCTTTATACGTGTCTCTATTTGTGTTCAGTTATATAAAGTGTTCCTAAAGCTCTGTCTATAGAGATATGCTTTATGTTATTGATGTGTATATTTTATATCTGCAAAACACTGAGATGTAAGATATAGGTTCTGTGGCAGATTATATTTTCCAAAGATGACAACAACAGTATTTTTAAGAGAAGCCAGCCCCCATGTAAAACGTCCATTTGCCCTGAGGCCATCATACTAGAGAGGCCAAAGATGGTACTCCAATCAAGAGTCTCAGCTGAGCCCAGGCTTCCAGCCACCCATGACAAGGTGTCTGACTCAGGAGTGAAATGACATTGGATGCTCCAACCAGCGCATCCATCAGCTAAGCACTTCTGAGTAACCCCAGCAATGCTACAGAGAGCAAAGAATCAGCCAAGCCCTAGCCCAAATTTGGGACCCATTGACTTTGTGAGACGTAACAAAGTGGTTATTGCTTAAAGCCACTAAGTTTTGGGGGAGTTACTTATACCACACTAGATAACTGGAATGGGTACCCCATAAATATCAAGACAGCTGCCATGTGCTAAGTATCTAGCATGTGCCATAGTCTACGCTGAGACTTGACATGTACCATCTCATCTAATCATGTGCCATAGTCTATGCTGAGACTTGACATGTACCATCTCATCTAATCATGTGCCATAGTCTATGCTGAGACTTGACATGTACCATCTCATCTAATCCTCAAGTCAACAGCAAAAGATGAGAACAGCAAGAGCAATCTCCACTTTTCAGATGAGGAGACGGAGGCTGAGAGGGTTCAGGAACTTGTCCATGGTCATGAGCAAGAACTGAGTGGGATCGAGGTCCCCTGGCTACAGCCCTCCTTCCTTACCACTGAGCAGACTGCCTCATTGCTGAGGTTTGATTTCTGGGTCCTCTTAGTCTTTTTTATGTGGGCCTACTTACACTTTTTTATTTTTTCAGAGAAACAGGATGCTATTATGCATACTGTTGTGTAACTTGCCATTTTCAGTTAACGTATTTCCAAGTCAATATATGTAGATCTATATTATCATTGTAAATGGTCACAGTGCAGTGCATCAGATGGATTTACTCTAATGCATTTAACAAGTCCTCCTGGAGATGGATATCTAGGTTGTTTAAAGCATTTTTTAACTGTTACAAATAATGTTTTAGAGAACTGCTTTGCACATATATCTTTGTGTACTGCTATAATTATTTTCCTAGAACAAATTCCTACACATCAATAAATTGACTTCTGTAAAGATTGTGCTTAAATGCCTACAGTAGTATATATGAGCTCCTGTTTGCTCATGCCCTGGACAATATGGGAGTTTCTTCATTGTTTTTAATTTCACTACCATCTTTTCAATATTGGTTGAAAGTCCTGTGGAAGTTACTTTGGAGGTTAGAGTATAGACCTCATCCTTGCCTCTATGAAGCATCAAGAAAGGCCCTGGAATGGAGTAGCATAAGCCCTGTGTCAGACAGTGCCAGGGCTGAATCTTCAACTCTGCTACCTGCTATTATTGTAACCATGAACAGGTCACGTGACTTTTCTGAGCCAGTTTCTTTGTCTATAAAATGGGGATAAAAATAGAACCTCCTCATAGGATTCATGTAGCATGGCACAAACAAAGCATGTAGTCTTGTACCTGACATATTGATAAATTATCACAGGATATCTTTCTGTGTAAGGGGAATGCCTCTCAGCATATCAGATCACAGAACGTCTGGAGTGCTGGAAGGAGGAAAGTAGTCTTGGGGTGTGGAAGCACGTGAGGCAAGCAGCACTAGCTCATCCCCAGAGTTCCACTTTTCCCGACGTTCCTCCACAATCTCTGATATTATCCCTGATACTCACTAAGTTACTGTTGAGGTCTGAGACAGCAGAATCCATAACATCACTTCAGTTCACAACAGCTGGCAAATTGGGAGATTTAAAAATAAAGTTTTATTATGGAAAAGCAGAATTGAAGAATGGGCATTAGCTATGTGAACATATCTGGGCTTCTTAATCTATCTCCCTTTGAACTGAACATGAAAATTCCAAGTTGCAAGAGCAGCATTTGACCTGGCAGGGTTCCCCAACAGAGGAACAAGATGCCCACTGCCTCCACCCAGTCTCCCCAATTAGATAAATCTCTCTTCTGTCTTGGGCAGAAAACTGAGTACTTGGAGAACAGCTGGAAGTGCATGTTTGATCCAAAAGGGGAATGCTTTTCCCTCGAACAGTTACTGAAGACTCCTTGCCCTCCAGGTCCATTAAGATGATCAGACAGGGTTGCAGCTAAATATGCCCTCTCTCATGCATTCCCTGCAGCCATGGCATGTGCCTCTGATGGTCCACTTTCTTCTTGTTTCTAAACTCATTTCAAAATTGATTGGCTGAACTTTTAACATATTTAATTTAGAAAAGGTTCCTCCATCAGGCCAACAGGTGGCCCAAGTCTTGACGTAATTTTTGATCACTTTCCAGTATTCCTATAATGATCACCTCTTCCCTACACCCCAATTCCATAAATTATTTTGATTTTCACCCTCAGGGCACATTTATCGACACCATTTCCCCCTGAGCTTACTTAACACTGCCAGCTGCCTCAGTTTACCTCTCTCGGACCTGTGTAACCACTTGGCATGGCGATCCTGGAGTCCAAGAAATTTCCCCAATTGTGATCTGTACCTGGAGCTTTGGGAATTATATTCTAAACATTTGATTGAACCTAGAGTCCTTTTCTAAGAGTCACTCTGGTTTTCTCTCTCAGTTCTTGACACTTTCTCTTTTTATTAGATTTATTTGGTCCTTACTGCTTTCTATGACCTAGTAACAACAAAACCATTTATTTCCCACTGGCTCCATCTTTAAGAATGCTGGGCCCAGGTACATCTTTGCCTCCTTTCACACCTGTCCAGCTTGTCCTCTGGGACTTAACCTTCTTGGCTATCTAGACTTGACCCGGATCTCAAACACTACAAAAATCCCCTGCATTTTCCCAGGGTTTTCATCACCCTCATTTTTCTTTCCTGCTTGACAATAAAGAAAAACAATCATCCTCATTTTTCTTTCCTGCTTGACAATAAATCTGGTGTTTATTATCAAACAGTTGAATTATTCTATGATTTTAGAAGGAAAGGGTCCTACACAGAACTTTTTAGTATCTTTATTGTCTATCAGATTTGTGAAACTGTTATTACATTGTCTTCTAACTCAACCTGAGACATTGACATTAACCCTATGCCTTACGGGGCTCTGCTCCTCCTTTCGTCAAGGATAAATCCATCACTGGCTAGTGGGTAGAGCAACAATCCGGGACTCTGAAATCCAAATCACAGCCTGGGCTGATGTACCCGTGTGAGGGTGCAACTGCTTTGCAGAACATGCGTGGGGCAGCTGATTCACTTAGCCTCGGCATTTCCATTTTAAGGTCTAATCCTCATCTATTAGTGCTTCTGTTGTCCACGTGGAATTTTGTAGCTTTTCCAATTTTAAGTCCTGGCTTAGAGTTCTTGCTGAGAAACATGGTAAAAGAACCATATATATATATTTCCTCCCACTGCTGACTAAAAAGCCCATAAACTGAAGCTCTGCCTTCACTGAGCTAGACCTTCCCTGAGCCTAAAAGACTCTTCTTCCTGTAAGTTGATGTTTGCCTCAGTGGTACTCACTCTAGTCAGAATCAGCTGGCAAGACTCCAGGATCAAGGTTCACCAATAGTCTGTGGCTGGTGTCATTTAACAGTCACACACAAAACCATAGTAGAAAATGCTGCAAACCACAGGTGAAAATCGTGTAAGATCAAGGTTTTCTGAAGCACCAAAGCCTTCCACCTCGGCTGTGCTAGAAATGGTGTCTCTCTGCACTATTTGGGGTTTCAAATGATAATTC